TTCTACGTAAGGTGCTCGGTATTAGATCTACTAACGCGTGGTAGCCGCGTGCTGTGCACGTGCACGGCAGACATTGTGTTGCATGCAGTGCAGTCCGTTTTCGGATGTGCATGCGCGAGGAACTTCCTTCTTTGGAACTGCTTCTTGCATGAGCTGTTTCGGATATTTCGTGTCCTGGCTTATTTCGCTTCGGCTCTGCTGAGACCTCTTTTCACGGAATATTACTCAATGACAGGTGAGTTGACCAGTTCCCTTTGATTCATTTGCTTGTGTTGACTCTTTCATTTACGAAAAGTGTGCTGATTTTAGGTGGAATACAATAAAATTAATAATGGAAAAGCTGACAGGATCTCTTTTCTAAATTTAGCTTTTCTGCTGTCGAGGCCTCCTTTTACGGAATACTCAATGACAGGTGATCTCTGAGTTGACCAGCTTCCTTCGATTCATTTGCTTATGCTCACCCTTTCATTTACGGAAAAGTGTGCTGATTTTATTCGGATTTAGATCCATTCGTTTCTCTTTGCCCTTGCCAACAGTGTGCGAAGAACGCGAGTTCACCTTCTTGACGGTAAGGCTTATGTTGCTGCTGAGGCTTTAAATAGAAGTGTTGTCGAAATACTCATGGTCATTTTGTACATTGGTACGTTACAAGTAAGGCACTGGTCATGATTGCTTCCGGCATTCCGTGCTCCGATCATAGGGTAGAATCTGAATTTTGCAGTGGCATAGCATCGTTGGCAGTTCCCAATCTGGAGGGAAAGGTTCAAAGACACATTGGCCGAGTACTAGTATGCAAAATAAATTCGCATATCAGGGAAAATCTCCATTATGGAGAGGTTCATGCATTCAGTGACTTGTTTGCTTCATACGAAACAATGGGTGCAGTCTCGTCTCGTGAAAATCTCGTACGATTGGATTTGTTTACTCGAGTCTGGGCTGTTTGATTTGTGAGTAGCGCCGAGATTGCACTGCCCCAAATAAAGTTGCGTGCTGGTAGAGCAAGAATTACGATCTGCAATCTGTTTGTAGTACCTGCAAGAATGTGCTATACATGTATCGTATTTCCTCTGTTGTTGTTTCAGTTGCCGTCATGTTGCTAAAGAAAGGTTCAGTGACTCATTTGTTTCATAAAAGACGAGTCAATGGTTTGGTCTGGCTTAGAATCTTTCGCTGTAGAAGAAATCTATTCGTGTCTCTATTGGAGAAATAATTGTATTCACTCGTTATAAAATAGGGTAAACACAAACCCACAGAGCAAATGCCATCGGTCCCTTGATGTTCGTCCTAAAGAGGTTTGACTGGATATCATTCATACTCCCCCGAAGTCGTGTAACATTTTACTATTATGGAGTGCCTTGTTTATCTCTCAGTACCTAAAACCATATATCCTTGCCCCTTATATCCTCAGGAGTAGTGTAGTTGTTGGAACGAGGTGTCGGACTCAGCGATGTATTTGTTTACATTTTAATGCATGTTTATTGTTCCTACTTTGCTGTGTTGTTTTAGACAATCGTGGACACTTTGAAGTCACTGAACTGCTTCCAAAAGTTTTATCGACATCAACAGGATTACGATTTCACTACAACATGATGCCGGATGACCTTATCACGACAACCCAGGACTACAATTATAAACACAGAATCAACAAAAACATCTGCGGCACACACCTGGTTACAATTCTCAAGTAAATGTGATTTAGGGTGTGGACATCTGAATTTTCTGAAAGACAAGAAAATTTTATGACAGTCATGAAATTCTGCAACATCCACAGAATGACTTGCGTTTAAAAAAAGTATCACCGCCACGACCCATATGATTCCCCTGCAGAAGAACATGAATACCTGTATGCAAGACTAGTTCCATTTTCTGCAATAAAAGGCTTGCACATCAATGCGTATACAGTAATACGGTATTGAATTTGATATGATACACGTAGGGGCTCCCGTAAGAAGAACATAGGTCTGTGGGAAACACCCTAGTAAAATAAATACGAGAGAGCTTGGAAGCTCAGGGCCCTGCGCTATGCTTTGTTGCCTAGCTCATCGTGCATGTTGTTAGAACTGATGGAAATGCTTTTTCCTTTGATTAGCTAAATCATTGTTTTGCAAAAACGTTTCAATGAGATACTGAAGTACAAGTAACGTCTTCTGCATAGCTATGGGACCGGCGCTGACTCTGCCGATGACGGGCGTTCGGGAGTCGACGGGATGTCTGTCCTGACGTTTCCTAGGACCGGCGCTGACTCTGCCGATCACACGCGTTCTTCTTCTTCTTCTTATTATTATTATTATACTGACGGCAACTAACATCCATTCTGTTTGCATTTACTCGTCTCCCTACTTCGTTTTTCTTTCCAGAAAATCTCCCCATACAGCAGGGAGTCGTTTACATAATATGACTCCCTGCTATACATCTACATGACTGTATATACGTTATAATTATTATGCTATCGGCCTACATGCGATTTCCGGGCTGGTCGACAGGCGGCCCAGCCAGCCTGCTAGTGGGATCTCGGCCTCGCACACAAATCCACACAAAATTTAATGTTACTGCACTGAATGCATTCCCCCCATACACTTCGCATATATACTCATTCTCTTGATGGTACCGTACTCTTGATGATACGGGACAGGTATGGGATAGCGCCAGGCATGTCGATGGCACAAACAAACAAAAATATTGTGGCCAGCTGTCTTTGCTGGTACGGTACAGTACGGGATAGATACAAAATAGCGCCAGGCGTGACACAAACAAACAAACACACAAACAAACACCAAATTAAAGCTGTGTGGACCCTGGCTAGCGCCAGACGTTACTGAAGTAACGTCTTCTGCATAGCTACGGGAAAAATAATGATAATAACATGCAGAGGCGCTACATGTAGGCCATCATTAGGGCATTCCATTGGTTACACAATTATATCCTTTAGCCAAAAAAACAAAAGAAATTATAGCAATAAAAACTGCTTTATGGCAGTTTTCTAAAAAAAGTTATTGTGTTCTAGTCCATGGACCTCGTCCAAAAAGTAAGAAATTAACGAAATGTGATAGCCGAAAATTAAAATTTCACACAAAACCTCACAATAATCACACACAGGATGCGAGACGACCTTTTCCCCTCGTGGTCCTCTTTCATATGCAAGCATGTTGGCGCAGTACATGTACTTGTATAAGTACAAGTGTCGGAATAAACAAGTGTTGAAAGCCGTACTATTAGATCTTCAAGTGTCGTGATTATTGTGAGGTTTTGTGTGAAATTTTAATTTTCGGCTATCACATTTCGTTAATTTCTTACTTTTTAGACGAGGTCCATGGACTAGAACACAATAACTTTTTTTAGAAAACTGCCATAAAGCAGTTTTTATTGCTATAATAGAATATGCATACAACATGTCTGGTCAGTCCTGTTAGGTGGGGTGGGCTCCACGTCATGCCTGTCGGTTCGCTGCCATTGTGCGGACTGCGTCAACATCTAGCGGCTGGTGGAGGGTAAGTCCATGCCATGATAACAGTTCCGTCTGCAAGACCGTTACCAAAGTCGTCCGAGGTCGACCCCTGAAGCGTTCAGTGCCCTCGTCGTTGGCCAGGCGAGGATACATATCCACTGCCAACTGTGGAGGAGCAGTTGGGGCCAAACGAAAGATATGGCCAGCGAGACTGTAGCGCTGCCTTGTGATCATCTCGCTGATGGGGACAGCTCCGCAGCGCTTATACAGAGTGTCATTGCTAATTCGTTTAGGGTACCGCATGTCGAGGATGCTCCTTAGCTGCCATAAAGCACTGCTATAAAGCAGTTTTTATTGCTATAATTATTTATTTGAATTTAGGAGTCAACGCCGTCTTCTATCAGCTTTCACCACACTTTCGACGTGCCGACGTCGCGACGTGAATGAGTTGTCATTTTTCATGATTTCGCGCGGATTATTTCTTCGAGTTCACAGTGAGTTTTTCCAGCCAGCTTTCGAGCGCGCATACGGTAAGGCGGCAAACTCCCCAGCAGGCGATCGCCAGGTTTGCTAATCTTTTTGAAACTGACCAGTGTGTGACTGACTCCCTGCGTGGTAGTGCTGACCCGAATTTGCTAGCAATTCTTCTAGCAAAATATCGAAGAATTTTGAAAGGGAATTTGCTGGCAAAATGGAGCAAAATATCGGTGTGTTGGCTGGGAATTGGGAGATTTTACACATATACGGTGCACATGACTCATTTCGGCACAATTTTACCAACACGTGACTCACTTTTTCTCATTTTTGCCAACACGTAACCCACTTTCGGTCAGTTTTCTCACACGTGACACAAATTTTGGAGCAAAAAGGGAGCAAAATATCGAGTGGCCTAGCAAAATGAAAGCAAAATTTCGACGATGCACGAGCAAAATTATGCCGCAAAATATCGAGATTCAGCTGGCAAATTCGGGTCAGCACTACTGCGTGGTACCGCGTATACCGTATGGCAGAACCACAATAAAGGCGCGGTTTGGAACCACCCAGCTTTGCGAATTTTCGAACTGCACAGTCTATACGGTTCATACCTTCATACCTTGCACCAAGAGTACATAACCCCCTAGGGGGTCATGTACTCTTACTTGCACCAAGAGCACATAACCCCTGGGGGGTCCTGTACTCTTGCTTGCACCAAGAGTACATGTACTCTTGCTTGCACCAAGAGTACATAATTGGTCACTATGCACTGTTTGCCAGTGTAACCTTTTGAACCATGTCACGTGATGCGAAGTTCTGCCCTCGCAGCACTATCTAGAGGTAGTGCAGGTAGTTGCACACTCTTGGGGGTTATGTACTCTTGCTTGCACAGTGATTTCGAAAAGCGATCCTGTCAGCTTTTCGATTATTGTGTTCACATGTATTCTCTGTCAGAGTGTGTCCGATACTAGTACAGTTTAGTGTGATTTTTTAGTATCAGCTCTGGGCGGTGTTAGCCTTTCTTAATTTACATCTTCTCCACCGTGGATATCTGTGTGTGTGGAGAGGAGAGTTGGTGTCATTCCACCCTATTTCACCCTTCACAGCCGCTCTGGGCAGCGAGTCACACTACCGGCTTTCCAATGTAAGTTTCATTTTGTGAGTGTGTGTGTGTGTGTGCATGTGTGTGTGTGTGTGTGTGTGCGTGTACCGGTATACTATCCAGGAATATTGGCGGACATCGTCCAGGGTATAGGCTGGTACTGGGAATGACCGAAGAAATGCAACCTAATTTTAATCTTTTTCAAACCCTTCATGTACCGTGACGTACTTGTGTATCAGTGCCATTCAGTGGTAGATTTTCTTGTGACCTGACAGGACCTGACAATGCTTGCAAACGCAAGCACAAACAGCAAAACAGGGAGTTGCAGTAAAGCGGGATTCACAGAAGCTTTTTTGCGATGCGACACGCGATGCGACGTGATCTGCGATGGATGCGTGCGATGCGAACTCGCGAAATACCATTCACAGAAGAAGTCAGCGATGCTACAAAGTTTTGCTGATTTGGGTACGGCACCATGATATTCGCGCGTTTTGACACAACTTGTAAAAATTTATAGGCAACTCTTGCACCCTTGTACAACTTTGCTGTAGAAAAGGTCAAAATCGTACACCAAATCGCTTGTCGCATCGCATCGCATCGCAAAAGTTGAGCCAAGCTCAACTTCTGCGATGGCCTGCGATGGCCCAGTTGCGGCAGTTGCGTGGGGTGCGACTTGGCTGCGATTAGGGGTTTTCCCGGTTTCGCGTCTGTCGCATCGCGTGTCGCATCGCAAAAAAGTTTCTGTGAATCCCGCTTAATAAAGAATATTCTTTCATTCACTCGTTGCCATCAAGAACGTTTGATTACTGAGCGACTGTGTTTATTTCGGCCCTATCCATGAGTTAGTGGAGTGTACGCACATGGCGCCAATATGTTCAATCACAATCACTACCCCTTCTTAAATGGAAATGGATGCACTAACTAATACTGTTTTATAGTAGATATTCTGATGCAGAGTATCTACACTTGAATAACTAGCATATGTGCCAAATTAGCAAGAACAGAACAGTGCAAAGTGGTATGACCTTACCAAACTTCAGTACTGCATTTTGCCACTCTTCAAGCACTCTTTTCTACTGATCGTCAGCTAGCTTTTTGAGGGTAATGCAATTGGCAACTTCCAGTTGTGATATTGGCTGTTCTACATGTATATGATCTTGTTGGCTATTGCTTGGATTCTATTTTGCAACAACTCCAGTTCATTGTTTTGCATGTACTGTTAACAGGTGGAAGATGGGATCTATTTTATTGCTTGCACTATGTGTGTTGGCTTCAATGCTGCACACAATAAATTGTGCTGACGGTAAGACTTTGAAAACCTTAAAGATATTCAGTGTCATTTTCTATCCTTTTGCTCGGAACTTGCAATGACAATTGTAATATTCCATTACATTACATTTCTGTAATTTCGGGTGCGGGGAAAATTAACATGATCAACCTGTTGCCATGGCTCCCCACTGTGTCCCATATTAGCAAAAGACTTTGAAGTGTACTTCGTACCTCGAGTCAACTTTGAGGCACATTGTAGTCTCGTTCCAATGTCAGATTTCTGATGGCTTGTTCACATAATTATGTTGACAACAAAACGCAAAATGAAACATTCTATGAAGTACTCAATGACCTTCATATAGGTCACAAATTTACTTGTACATGTGAGTCCGATCAGTCTGGAAAACAATTCAGGTGGATAAAATTTATTTCCAGCGGTCATTACAACATTAGGGTCCGTCCGGGGTTCCCGATAGTTTTTGCAAAACTAAAGGTTTTAATATTTTTCAGCACCCACCCACCCTCCTGCCTTTTCTGCAGGTAAAACGAATTCCATTATAATATTGATGTCAATTTTCGACACCCAGAAGTAACTGGGCATTCTCCAGCCGCATTCAATAATTATTTTCAAAATGAAACTCCTTCAAACCCACCCACCCCCAAACGAAAACTTTTCGTTTTGAAAATACTATTGGTAACCTTGGACGGCCCCTTACACAACGATAAAGCACGACTTTTTCCAACCCTTCTTTATGAGCAAAATTAAATTTAAAAATTAACACAATGGATTAAAATGCAATACGACATACACTGGAGAAAAATAAGAAAAATGCATGTATAAAAAATAACCTACGTGGAGATAATAATTTACCAATAGTACTTAACTTCAGTTTCTTTGGTTGTATCCTTAGTTCCGTTTTTCCCACTGATGATAGGATCGAGAAAATCGATTCTGGGTTTTCAATAATATTTTTGTTATAAAATACACAGTAATACCTGTCAAACAAGTAAAGTAGTTGCGTGATGTCTGCGGCCTTCATCCTATTCATAGCATGTGTAAAAATAAAGATTTTTAAACCCAAACCCAACAGAACTTCAAATCAAAACTTTATGAAACAAAATAAATTATTCTCACCGAACTCAATCAATAAACTGAATTAAAAAGAGAAAAAACAATATCAGAACAAAACGAAAAACATTGTATGAATTACGTCATAACACTACTGTCTAAGGTATTCAATTGTTTGAGGGAAAGACAGAAACAAAGTCTGAAGAAAAATTGACTCACCCCCAGGACTCGAACCAGGTACCCTCACTTGTAACCACACAGGGCTCTGTTACAAATAAAAAAAATAAATAAAAAAGCCAGCGATGCTCTAACCACTAAGCTATAGTCTTCGTTCTCCCTGCATGCAACTTTGTTTTCTTTCTTGTTCTTATTTTTTGTTTGAGCCTGGTTTGTGTTCTTTGTAGGAAAAAAGGTGTGGTCCCCTTCTAGCGCTTTCCCAAAGATGCTCTTTTAATTCGCACTTGGTGCTTTTCGCGTCCCTCAAAATATGCTGAAAAAGTGCTCTTTTTCAGTGAAAACAGGCAAAAGTGCTCTTTTTTCAGTTAAAACAAGCAAAAGTGCTCTTTTTTAGTGAAGCATGGCCATTTTACATGTTCAGATATCAACCCAAGCTGAGAAATGAATACGCACTCATCCAATTATGAGTCCAAGAAAGGCAAAACAGGAAGTAAAGTAAAAAAAAACCACTTTTACAGCATTGTGTACAAAAGTACAAGCTTCACCAACTTGTTGCCCCCATAAAAGCGCCGTGCCAAGGCCCATCGAGCACTCCGAAACTGTGATCGCATGCATGAGCAAACAGATTTTAGCACTTTTTCAGCTAGAAAAGCTCAAAAAGGGCAAAAAGGCGATATTCACAAAAAAGGACTACCCACTACTGTACAAGTACAAATTTTCGTTCACGAAATCTTTCGTTAGATTTGACGAGGAGACGCAAGTAGGCGTGTGGTGGGAGAAATTAGCTGGTTCTGCAGTTGCTGCCGAGTCGTCATGTCGCTTGCGTTTAGCTGACGTTTCGGCAAGTAGAGGATGTCCTGCGCCGAGTGTAGTACCTCGGCGGGTAGAATCTGTCATAGCGGAAACTTAAACTTGAGGGAGACTTGAAGTGCTAAGAATTGAGCAGGGAAACATCCCCGACACAAGTTGTTTCACAGAACACATATTTTCGGGTTTACAAATCTTTTAAAGGACTGACCGGTTTCGCTGTCTAAGGCAGCTCATCAGAGTGAAGAGAGATGAAAAAAACACAACAGAAATTATGCAGTCAAGAGTGGCACTAAATTATAGATACAAGTAGGCCGCCAAAATGCTAGGGGCCCCAAGAGCATTGGGAGTTCCTAATTTGGAAGTGCTGCAATTCTGTTATGACATATGTGTAATAATGTGGGCTTGAATTCCAATATGGATGAATGCTTATATGGAACATGCTTTGTAATTATGAACAAATTGTATGTTGTACATGAAAAAGCATTCAAGCCCAGTTTGTACATTATATCTGTCTGGTTATGTGTACAGACTTATTTTTGGCAGGGTGTACTTCAGCTACATATACGAGCTCCGGTGGAGTCCCCCAGGGAAGCATTCTTGGTCCAATGCTAATGCTTTTCCTGGCGTACGTCAACGACGAGCCAGACGTTCTCGCTGACGGCGCCAGCTTGGAGACCTATGTTGATGACACAACCTTATACAGCTTAGTCACCTCCCAGCTGAACCTGATAGCAATGGAAATAAAAATTTCCAATCAGGTCCGAACGTACCTTGCCAGAGTGCTCAAACTGACAAGTCAGTGAGCTCTGCATAGCGCAAACAGCTAAGGCACTACCCCACACAAGAGTGCTCAACTGCTACAAGAGCAGGAGGGTTTGGGCATGACACCTGGTGGTGCACATGCTAAATTCAGAATGAAACTGTAGCACATCACGGCTTGCATTTGAATGTCGCCATGGCAAAAGAAACGATGGCATCAGGTTCTCACTTGTCTTCCTGGAATATCTTCAAGCATTGTGTGGCTCCGATAAAGCCAACAGTAGCTCAAGTACTTATGAACTGAATATGTCACCGTAGATTTCTTTGATTGCGGTCTTCGAGCTTTTCATCCTGTGCATGAGCCAGTCTCCGAAACCCAGTATCTTATCAATTACAGGCAAACTTTTCACAGCTCAAGTGCTAATGTGTTGGGGATTGAACTGCGGGGATGTTAAGTATTTGAAAACGATTACATCATTCTATCTGCTTCTCTATGTGCGTCTACCTAGATTCGTCATTGACCGGATACAGCTACTGTTCTGACGTTCGTGCAGTCCTGAAGCGGACACACGATCACACGCTTTTCAACTTTTCAGTCGGCCAAGAAATATGCAGGCTACAAAATGCCAGTTTACTGAGTCCAAAAGCGTACACGTCGGGATGCACGCGAACATTGCTCGGTGCTAACCGCATTGCCTGGGTCAACCAGTTTGAGGATGGAGCAAACGATAGGATTGCGTTTGTCACCGGAACACCAACCCACCCTATTGCCACTCGTTTCGTGAATGCGTCAATACACGTCGTGTGCGAAATAGGTAAGTGAAGTACTCCAATCACTGAAAGACTTAACGACAATTCCAACCTCATCACGACACCACTCAATTTACGTCTTGCCTGTGGAAATGGGGTCGCCATTTCTAAATGGTATTCTTATGTCGTGTTACCCCAATATTACCCCTATACCACCCCTGTAATATTTCAAAAGTCCAAAAGTATTCATGGCAGGATACACCCCAACTCTGCTTGGTGCTACCAATTGTGTTGCCATTTTGTCACAATTACTTGCTGTATTATGTTTCGGTTACGTTGGTGAACAGTTAGTCGTAACATTTTCTCCTTCACCTTACTCACCGTGACTAATGTGCCTCACCACCGGAGTTCAACTTCATTCTTGTCTAACAGGAAATTCCAGACAGGCACCATCGCCTTAGGCTGCGTTTACACGACAACGCACGGCCAGTTTTCCGTTTTCAGTCCTGCATTTTTTTTTCGTTTTCCCGCGTTCACACGGTCAAAGCTGATTCGAGGAAATCTCCGTTTGTATCATTTTTGCGCATCTACACGGGAGCAAAGGATCCGCAAAACTTCGTCATGTGCAAGTGTTGTCGTGGAAGCACCAATCACACTCAAGCAATAATTGAGAACAGGCCACAAAACAACACTCGTCACATGTCGAAATTTTAAAAACATTTTTTTGATTGTCGGATCCGTGTAAACGGCCGAAAACGAAACACGCGTGACGGAAAACGAGTCCAGCATACCGTTTCGACTGTTTACACACCCAAATTTATCCGGCAGAACATTTCCGTTTTCAAATTCTTCCACCTTGGCCAGCGTTTTGGTTTTCTTCCGTTTTGGTGTACAACTTTTTCGTATTGCTCTTCGTAAAGTGTAAATGAACCATGCATCCGAAAGGATTTTCTTGCGTTTTCATCCCCAGCGTTGTCTTGTAAATGCATCCTTAAATGATAGCAAGTGTGCGGCACATGCTGAACTCCAAGCAAGACTATCCTAGTCGAAATAAGACAACACAGATAGAGAAGACAAAACATGACTGGGAGCATATGGCAAAAATCCTCTGCTCGTCACACAGCACACAATGCTCCGCCGAGATGTATTATAAAGAAGTTAAGGCAAGTTGCACCTACTCTTTAAGCCATTCCATGCACGCACTCTCAATACATGGCCAGTGACTGAACGCACGGCATACTGGTGCCCAGAATAGCAAATTGCTGGAGACTCTGGATGAGTCACCTGTGGAGCAGTCCATGGCTTTTAAAGATTTGGCCGCATCTTGTTCCTCACATCCCAACCTGAGGACCAATGACGACTTGTAGTCCCTACACCCCCTATGCCTTGCTTTGTGTTTGTCTACATATGTCTCTTGGTAGGGCTGTGTTCCCAGTAAAAAAAAACACAACAAAACAAAAGACATACGTAGTACATACCAGAACACTTTTGGAGTTGACCCCCACGTGGGCGCCAGCATGCATACCTAGTTTAATTAATTCCCTCAAAGCAGATATTCGGATGTTAAAAAGGCAAAATAGTACTATGGAAATATATGGAAATGTTTTTTGTTAATAATCTGTTTTTGTTGCAAGAGCGCTTTTGTGCAATGGACTGCTACAGTAGAGCCATGCAAGGATATCGTTTTTCTCCTTTTCCAAAAACCCGCTTTTTAAGCTGGAACTAAGTGTTCGGGTTTGGGCATGACAACTGGTGATGCACATGCTAAATTCAGAATGAAACTGTAGCACATCACGGCTTGCATTTGAATGTCGCCATGGCAAAAGAAACGATGGCATCAGGTTCTCACTTGTCTTCCTGGAATATCTTCAAGCATTGTGTGGCTCCGATAAAGCCAACAGTAGCTCAAGTACTAATGGACTGGATATGTCACTGTAGATTTTTTTGCTGGCGCTCTTCGAGCTTTTCATCCTGTGCATGAGCCAGTCTCCGAAACCCAGTATCTTATCAATTGCAGGCAAACTTCTCACAGCTCAAGTGTTAATGTGTTGGGGATTGAACTGCGGGGATGATAAGTATTTGAAAACGATTACATCATTTTATCTGCTTCTCTATGTGCATCTACCTAGATTCGTCATTGACCGAATACAGCTACTGTTCTGACGTTGGTGCAGTCCTGCAGCGGACACCCGATCACACGTATTTCAACTTTTCAGTCGGCCAAGAAATATGCAGGCTACAAAATGCCAGTTTACTGAGTCCAAAAGCGTACACGTTGGGATGCACGGGAACATTGCTCGGTGCTAACCGCATTGCCTGGGTCAACCAGTTTGAGGATGGAGCAAACGATAGGATTGCGTTTGTCACCGGAACACCAACCCACCCTATTGCCACTCGTTTCGTGAATGCGTCAATATACGTCGTGTGCGAAATAGGTAAGTGAAGTACTCCAATCACTGAAAGGCTTAACGACAATTCCAACCTCATCACGACACCACTCAATTTACGTCTCACCTGTGGAAATGGGGTCGCCATTTCTAACATGTATTCTTATGTCGTGTTACCCTGATAATACCCCTATACTACCCCTGTAATATTTCAAAAGTCCAAAAGTATTCATGGCAGGATACACCCCAACTCTGCTTGGTGCTACCAATTGTGTTGCCATTTTGTCACAATTACTTACTGTATTATGTTCCGGTTACGTTGGTGGACAGTTAGTCGTAACATTTTCTCCTTCACCTTACTCACCGTGACTAAATTGCCTCACCACCTGAGTTCAACTTCATTCTTGTCTTACAGGAAATTCCAGACAGGCACCATCGCCTTAGGCTGCGTTTACACGACAACGCACGGCCAGTTTTCCGTTTTCAGTCCCGCATTTCTTTTTTTTCGTTTTCGTGCGTTCACACGATCAAAGCTGATCCGAGGTGGTCTCCGTTTGTATCGTTTTTGCACGTCTACACGGGAGCAAAGGATCCGCAAAACCTCGTCATGTGCAAGTGTTGTCGTGGAATCACCAATCACAGTCAAGCAATAATTGAGAACAGGCCACAAAACAAACTATCATCACATGTCGAAAATTATAAAAACATTTTTTTTCGATTGTCGGATCCATGTAAACGGCCGAAAACGAAACACACGTGACGGAAAACATGACTGGGAGCATATGGCAAAAATCCTTGGCTCGTCGCACTGAACACAATGCTCCGCCGAGATGTATCATAAAGAAGTTAAAGCAAGTTGCACCTACTCTTTAAGCCATTCCATGCCCGCACTCTCCATACATGGCCAGCAACTGAACGCACGGCATTCTGGTGCCCAGAATAGCAAATTGCTGGAGACTCTGGAAGAGTCACCTGTGGAGCAGTTCAAGGCGCTTTAAAGATTTGGCCGCATCTTGTTCCTTACATCCCAACCTGAGGACCAATGACAACCGGAACGATTATTATCTTTTGGTTCCGAGTCCCCCTGAGCGCTGCCTGGGGCATGTAGTGACTGAATTTCTCCAGCACCCTCTCATTGACACTGTGATCCAATGGGACGTTCCCGTCCAAGAGTAGTGCCCGTTCATTCTGAAGCAATGCCAGGTCTGGTCTGTTAGCCTTCGTCACTCAATCTGTGTGTTTGGAATCTTACTGCTAACCGATCCATGTTATTACTGCCATATTTCCCCGATTATAAGTCACCCTCGATTTACAACATGTGTACGGGTGTCAAACATCACCAGTTTTTCTTTGCAATAATTTGTACAGCATCACATGGGCTTTCGTCCACCACAGGTAACGGATTCGTCTCATAATCCGTGTACAGTGCGCGTTGCATCATAAAAATGACGTCAACTTGAAATTCTGCCGGGACAGCACCCATAGTCGAGTTGCACACTCTTGTGGGTTATGCACTCTTGGTAATTTTCTTCCTGCTGGTCTGGTCATGTCAACAAAGATCCAGAGAAAAGGACAAGTAGGGCACGAGGTGTATGGCAATATGCAGCGGTGTGTAGGCAGATGTGCAGATATATTACAGAGTGTCAGTGGCCCAGTGCTATTACTGAGTACGGAGGTGCCGTAAGACAGACACTTTCAGACTTTGCAGCCGTGTGTACGTACACCATCCGATATGTCACTGATGAATGGGACCTGGTTCCAAAGACCACCTGGTTTTAACGACCGTTTTGCATGCACCGTGGGGTGGTTGCTTAAACCAGGTCTTAGTGCAGTGTTATCAAAGTGAATCAAGAGCGCCCCTGCCATAGGATATTCCCTTACTCTCAAATGTCTGTGAAAAGAATTCGGGTGGACACACCCATTCCCATAGCGCTGCATATCACATCCGAACCAGTTCCGTTATTTTACAACGTTTCGGCACTTGGCCATCATCAGGTAATAACAATGAATACCGTGGAAGCCACACAAGAGCAGTATATACGCAGAGTGTAGCGCCAAAAAAGTTGCGAATTATGTCACCTAGTATGACAGAGAGAGAGAGGAAAGGCGCAACTAGCACATCACGGAGGAGAAGCAGCAGAAGGTAGCGCGCATTGTGCTCTGTGAATGGCGTTGCGCAGAGTGTAGCGCCAAAAAAATAAAAATAAAAAATAAAATGATGCGAGTTATGTCACCTCTATACAGAGGGGGGGGAGAGAGAGAGAAGGTGCAACTGTGCACATCACGGAGAAGAAGAGCGCGCCGTTGTGCTCTACGAAGTGAGGGTACATGCCAAATAATTATGGTGTTAATTCACAGATGAAGCTGCAGGAAGCCTCAGCCCTTCTTCAAATCTCAAATGTCTCCTAGGCAATCTGTTCATTCCGTTTTCCACTCTTGTATTTGTCCTTGCAGCTTGTAAA